CAAATTCGATATATATAATATTTTTTCAAAGTTTTATAAATATCGAATTTTGCATGGAGCCAAATTCAATATATTTATTTTTTTCAAAGTTTTATATATATCGAACTTTGCATGGTGCTAAATTCGATATAGGTATATATTATTTTTTTATTTTAAATATATGCAAAATGCTGGTCATTTTTATCTATATATTGTTTTTCCTGCAAAATATTTTATATATAAGACGAAATAATTATGGAACATATGGCGCCCCATACTTTTTTGACAATAATTTCAATATTTTTTGTTCATTAATATTTTCTGTTTATATTAAAAATTATTTTTCACTTTTTAGTTCAATTTACTATAAAAGCGTGTTTTTTAGTTTTTTTAAAATACATATAATTATTTTTCACTTTTTAGTTCGATGTATTAAAAGCGTGTCAGCCCCAGAGATTTCCAGACTTTTCCAGACATTATCCAGACTTATTCAGAGCTTTCCAGAGTTTTCCAGATTTCATCCAGATTTATCCAGACTTGTACAGACTGATCCGGATTGTAGAAAATGATTCCCAGGTCTTTTGGAACCTTTTTCAGAATTTTTCCGACCCTTTCAAGAAATTCCCAGGCATTTTCCAGACGTTTCCAGAGATTTCCAGACATTATCCAGACTTATCCAGAGTTTTCCAGACTTTATCCAGATAAATTTAGACTTGTTCAGACTGATCCGGATTCTGGAAAATGATCCCCAGGTCTTTTAAGACCTTTTTCAGAATTTTTCCAACCCTTTCCAGAAATTTCCAAGTCTTTTTCAGACGTTTCCAGACAATATCCAGAGTTCAGACAATATCCAGACTTATCCAGAGTTTTACAGACTTTATCCAGATTTATCCAGACCTTATTCAGACTTGTACAGACTGATCGGGATTCTGGAAAATGATCCCCAGGTCTTTTGGGACCTTTGGCAGAATTTTTCCAACCCTTTCCAAAAATTTCCAAGTCTTTTCCAGACGTTTCCAGAAATTTCCAAAGTTTTCCAGACTTCATCCAGATTAATCCAGACTTGTTCAGACTGATCCGGATTCTGGAAAATGATCCCCAGGTCTTTTGGAACCTTTTTTAGATTTTTTCCAACCCTTTCCAAAAATTTACAAGTCTTTTCCAGACGTTTCCAGAAATTTCCAGACAATAACCAGACTTATCCAGAGTTTTCCAGAGTTTTACAGACTTTATCCAGATTTATCCAGACTTGTACAGACTGATCCGGATTGTGGATAATGATCCCCAGGTCTTTTGAGACCTTTGGCAGAATTTTTCCGACCCTTTCCCGAAATTTCCAGGCTCTTTCCAGACGTTTCCAGAGATTTCCAGACTTTTTCAGACTTCATCCAGTCTTATCCAGACTTGCTCCAGCTCACTTGGCTTGTTCCAGGTTCTTGTTTTGTGTTGTGTGTTAATATAAGCATGTTAAAAAAGTGTTGCTTTTTCGTTTCGTTTCATCGGGTCGCTTTTTCGTTTCATCGAGTCTCAAATCACTCCCAACGATTCTAAAGAAGTTTTCACTTCAAAAATGACCACTCAACATTCCCTATCTCACGCAGAGCATAATTTTGTTTTAGTTTATATATTTTCTATTTATACAGCAAATTAGACGTAGCAACTAGGTATTCAGTAGGTCAGTAGCAACAGCAACTGTATTATTTTATGAATGTCTATTATATGATTTATTGTAACTTTTGTTTTTTTTACATATCATCTAATATGTCGATGTAAAAAATTCTAAAACCGCCGCGCCAGTTAGTCTATCATCTTACAAGGTAAAATCACAGAAAATATTAAATGCCCGAGAACATCGCGCAACGCTGTTAAAATTTGTTTGCCGAAAAGCTAGCGCGAATATAAATTATTTCAATTTATAACACCGGAGCAGCGCCTCTAGCGGTCTGCCGTCGCCCATAAGCGTAGGTTTTCTATAGTTAACTATAATATTCTTTGCTTTTACCTATAATTTGTACGTATTATAAACAAATAAAAGTGAACGGAGGAGTTTGAAAGTTACTTACTGTAATCGAAGGTCGCCATAATCCATGACTTGCAAAAAAAGTCGTTTTCAACGATCGCCCGATACGCACAACAAGCCGCTGCGAACGTCGAATAACTACTAACGAGTAGAGATACGCATGTTTTAAGGATCCCCTCTCGCAGAGTTCGAATATCTAACCTCAAAAAAATTTGGCGGCGCTTAATGTACAACCTTGTAAGCGTTACCGTATGGTAACGCTAGCTGTTGAAGGGTTAATAACTTCTATAAGTAATTAATTAGTATAGCCCGGAAAAGCTTTTTTGCTAAATTAATTAGTGTTGATTGGTATTGAGGGAGAAGATTTGATAACAACTTTGGGTTTCGTTTGTCAACATTGTGATTTGGGTTGTTCCGTTTCAAGCGTGTTGTTCCGTTTCCCTGGTCAAGACCGGAAATCTGGCACCAAGGCATCTTAAAGAAAAAAACTGGAATTCTAGAAAATTTTTCATATTGAAGCTCACCTAATAAATTGCTGAAAAGGAATCGTTCTCTTTTAAATTCGCACGTTGAGCAAACAACAAGTTCTTGGCAGATTTTACCAGCGGTCCTTTCCTGCTACGTTCCTTGGAACATCCACCTTTTTGTGGGATTTTGAAGGCGCTGGGATTGCAAGTGGTTGCTGGCTTAATTGGTTTTGGGGTGAAAGCTTTGGATTTGGTCGTCCCCGTGTTTGTAAGCCAACCACACAGAATTTTCTGAAAACGAAGTCTACGCCATTTTGTTGGTTTGCCGTGTGAGGTGCATGTTTTGTTCAACTATCCCGAATTGTAACCAGGTAATTTTGAACGTTTTTATCATTCTCAAATTTACCTTTTCGTTATCAATATTTAGATTAGCTTATCTGTATTTTTGTAAATATTTGGGATTCAATTAAAAAAAAGGCAATTTAACCTACACGAGGGCCATTTGTCAGTAAAAAAAAACTCATCAGTCACTGAATGGGCTAATTAATTAAGGGGTTTTTTGTTTAAGATACCTACATGTTTCCGGGGATTTTGCTGTTTTAATTCAAATGATTTATGTAACATTTGAGAGTTGGGATTTTTCATTTTATAAGTATGAAGGAGTTCTAAGGTTTATTGTACTCTTTCAGGGTTTTTTAGACTGGATTTTAGTTTGGATTTGACCTTTACCATTGGGTTTTTCCTCTTTGACGGTTTGCTACTCTCGAAGTTGAGGTGTCAAGAGTGCCTACAACACTGAATTGAAACCGAAATTCACATTTTTAAGAGGGAAGTCTATGCAATTAATATTTTTAATTATTATTAATGGTATTTTCTTATATTTACTTGGTATATTTCCAAGGTTGTTTTACTGCTTTAATTATTACAGTGGGTGTACATTTTGTACAAACCCGCCCCAGTATACCATGGTATAAGCGAGCACAGGTTTTAATCAATACGATTAATCTTTTTATTCCTTAATTGTTCTATGGCACTCGCATTGGAGTAAGGTAGTCAAACATTTATTGGTAAATTTTGAATATATTGGAGTGTCTTGTGTAAGTCCAATACAAATTGGTTGGATTTATAATCATTGTTTTTAGATTTGACTCTTATTTTACTCCTACTGACCTCGACCAAACTAAGGTTTATTTTACAGGATAGGTACATAGGGTAGGTACATTTTTATAGGAATTTTGGAGATCACGGACTTTCTGGTTTAAGTCCGCGGATTGTATTTTGTAAACCAGTGGCGCCCTATTAAGCTAACTTTCAATATTAAACCTACTCCCACACCACTGAGTAGCCGCGAGCACTTTGTTGCGCTGGCCGCATTCCTTACGGGTGTCTTACTGTACCTAGGCGTATTAGGGTTTATTAATTTAAAATCTTTATCCAAACAGTTTAAGGGTTAATTTTTGCGCAACAAATACACACCGCCGTGTTAGTTATTTTCCGAATGATTGTTAAATTCAATCTTTTAGCTTGTCGCAAATTGAGAATGCACTGTTGCCAGACTATATTCTAACTATTCTCACTAATATATATCTATAGGTGCGGGAACATTATAATTTCTGAAGGGAAATTAAGCATTCACCACTTGTGTTCTTCAGAAATTCCTAATTACTTAATTTCTTAATTTATTGATATTTTATTGCCTACTATTGATATTGACTGCTTACTATTGATATCAACTGTTTACTATTGATATTGACTGCGAGTTATATTAACCAATTGCCACGCTGATTTATAATCAATTATCTATTTTTTATATGCTTTAATGTGCTTACCCCTTTCCTCTAGGACTTTTTAAATACATTTTTGTAAAGTAAACATCAAATTGCTATGTCGGCAGTAAATGCTTATTTAAGCCGACGCAGTCCCATAAGGAACTTTCATTTGTTTTCTGGCTTTTGCCTATAGCAATTTGATCCGAATATTTTCTTTTGTCACCTCTGTATTTTAATCAATAAAATAAATGTTTTTTAAAATACAAGTTTCTGAATCGAAAATATAATTTGCGTACTATTGATATTAACTATTAATTATTGATATTAATCAAAAACTTGTTTTGGTAATAACCGATTTTGATTTAGCTCACCAGACAATTTTGCTTGTGTTTTTGCTGTTTCGCAGTTCAGGAATTGCAGAAGGTCGATTGGTGCCAAAAAGATTCAGGGACCTTCCAGCTTAGGTCGTCATCCGGCTGGTGGCGCTAACTCATCCCACTCTCCGAGTTTTAAAGGGGCTACGGGCATAATTTTCCACGAAACAAAGACCACCCATTGGCTTCTGCATTTCACATTTCAGATTTCACATTTCACATTTCAGATTTCACATTTCATTTTTCCAGCCGAATACTTTAATTAGAATTAAAAATTATATTGATTAATTACTCCAAATAACTAATTAAACATTTAAAATCATGGCAAGCAGTAAAAAACATCCCGAAGAAGATAAATAATTTAAAGGCTGCCATAAAGAAGAAAACAGATATGAACCGTACTGGAAATAAAAAAAATCAAGCTGCAGAGCAAGTTGTGTTTGCCGTTATGAACGGAGCCAATAGTAACAACCCAGTACTCAACAAAATTCCTGGTCATATAGAAGTAGGTCCATCATCAGCTACAGAAGTTGTGAGTTGTGATGCTCAAACCTCCAACGCCAACCCCGAAAGGTCCAAGCAAAAAATAAAATTGGCAACATCCTCTTCCGAAACTACAGAAACAAAAAAAATTTCCAATTCAAATTCAGAGCTGCATCGCCTTATTTTACTTGAACAGCTGTCTTACAAATCAAATCAAATCTTTATTAACGCATATAGCAGTTACAAGTTAAAAAATAGGTCATCATATCATCAAAAAAACATATATAATATCATTTTATAGTAAAAACTTCACACTGTTTATCACTTTATCCATATCAATAAGATCATCAAGATGACGGTTTAATACAATAAAACAATATTAATTAACAGCAATAATGAAAAGAAACATAAATTACAACAAAAGTAGTTCAAACAAATAAAATTTCTTTAACCTGTCTGCAAAATACACTATAGTATTTTTAATACCTATTTAGAAGTACCAGTCATTCTAGTGACAAAACGTATGTCGCTTCATGACACACAAATAAAATGAGGTTAGGAATTTTCTATTTGTACATGAAATTGACGTTTAGCAATCGACGTTTGTTTTTGTTGGTAATTTTTTGTTTCATCTGATTCGTGATTGATAAATAAGGCTCGGGTTATTCTAAATGGGTATTACAAATACTATACAGGGTGTCAATTTGAAAACTTCCCACCCGTATTATTTCAGAGTAGAAAAATTTTCAAAAAAATCCCTGGAACACGTCAACTATAATTTGAAAGGGGATGAGTTTTTATGCAAAATTCACCACCCCTCTTTCAACCCCCCAACCCCCAGAGCCACCCCCTAGAAAATCTTAAATGGAAAGGGGGGTCAAGTGATACATCATATTGGAGGGTTTTTAATTCCATAAATTTTGGTGCTAAATTTTAATCCCTTAGTTCAACTGTTTTGGAAATATTGACAGTTGAAAATTGACTTTTTTGCAACTTTGACAGGCTGTAAAACCTAAACGGATAATTTTAAAGGAAAACCGTTCTCACATTCTTATCTTAGATTCTTATAAACTATCATTTGACAGCAACTTCGAATTTAATCCATGATCAAAAATTTCGGTTAAAAATTTAATCTCCGGTTAAATTCGAAGTTGGTGTCAAATGATAGTTTATGAAAATCTAAGATAAAAATGTAAAATTGATTTTCCTCTAAAATTAACCGTTTAGGTTTTACAGCCTGTCAAAGTTGCAAAAAAGTCAATTTTCAACTGTCAATATTTTCAAAACAGTTGAACTTAGGGATTAAAATTTAGCACTAAAATTTATGGAATTAAAAACCCTCCAATATGATCTATCACTTGACCCCCCTTCCCATTCAAGATTTTTTAGGGGATGGCTCTGGGGGTTGGGGGGATGAAAGAGGGGTGGTGAATTTTTCATAAAAACTCATCCCCTTTCAAATTATAGTTGACGTGTTTCAGGGATTTTTTTGAAATTTTTTCTACTCTGAGATAATAGGGGTGGGAAATTTTTTGAAATTGACACACTGTATATCTACAATTAAAAAAGTCAGTGTTATTATGCTCCTGCATTAGAGTATTTGCAATTTTACACATTCGATTTATACGAATGTTAGTGCCATAATTTGTTCTATGAAATGTTTGGCTGAATAAATCTTCACTTCCTGAATTCCTAGGTGGAATATGGAAGCCAAGCTCTGAAAGAAGCTCTGGGGCATCAAACATGCCGTTCAGAATTTTAAAGAGTGCAAGTATCAAAAAATGTTCTTCGATATTCTAATATAGTAAGGTTTAAAAGTTTCATTATCTCACTACAGTTAATTTGTTCATAGGGATCTTAAGTCGCACTCTTCTTAAAAAATTTCTTTGCACTCTCCCCAAGCTCTCTTTATGGACACCATGAAAAGGCTTCCAAACTGAACTGGCATGTTCGAGCATTGAGTGAACAAGTGCACAATAAACATTTCTCAAAACATAATCATTATCTATAACCTTCAGAGTGCGAAAGAGAAACTCCAACAGTCTCATAGCCTTGTTGGTGCTTTTTTCAATATGCGTACTTTCTATCCAAACTCCTAGATCTTTAACCAAAGTTACTCTTTTAAACTCCTCAGAGTCAACAGAATGTTTGAAAATAATTGGTTGTTTCATTCTACTAAAAGTAATGATATTGCATTTTTTAATGTTTAAGGTAAGGCTATTTTCTGCGCACCAAGAGAAAATCAATTGATCTTGCAAACGTCGTGTAATGATCCAGAAATTAGACCCGTAAATCACAATGTATTTACTGTAAAAATTAAATAATAATCAAAAACTGAATTTCCGGTATCTCCAAATCAGTATCGATAAATTAAAAATGAAACAAATTAACGCTAACGTAATTCGACACCCAGCCTATGTCATCATCTAAATTAAATTCTTAAAAATAATAAAAAATGAGGCCAGGGTGATTAAATCGAATGATTTATGGCATTCTTGAACCAATAATGTTTTGACCTCGATAAATCAGGATATTGCGACATAATTATTCGATTTTTTTAGACTAAAAATGATAAAAATTTCAAAATTGCATCATCTTAATTGTCATGGACAGAGAGATTTGGGGGGATCGATTAAATATAAATACCGCGGTTTTAGAAGTGGAAGGCAGTTGTGAGTTGCCAGTTGTCAGTTGAAAGAGCAGTTCGCAGTCCAGTCCAGTTTGAGTTAAAGTCTACAGTCAGAAGGGTTGAAATTCGCGAAATAGTTATTTTCCTAACAAGTGCGCAAAGTGATACTTTCCCGCACGAAAAAGCAGTTAGACGAACGACGCGAAGCGGAGTTCGGATAAGCTTTGAGTGCGGGAAAGACACTTTGCGCAAGTGTTAGGAACAATACTTTTTCTACGAGTGCTTGAAGATTTGCATCCAGAGGAGCCTAATTTTTTTAAATGTTTCCAGATGCTCAAAATTGATTATTTTCTCTCCTAGTTCAATGTGTTGTGTTTTCAATTTTTTTTTCAGTGATCAGCTTCACTTTCTTTGCAACATTGGTTGTACTAGCAAGGTTGACTTAAAATTTGAACAAGTCGTTAAGTTTTTCCTGTCAAATTTTGGTATGGGGGAGTATAACTTACAGTCCAACTTTTATAATCTGATACTCTAAAGGAATGTGAGTTGGTGGCTCTCCATGCCAATGGTTACCTGATCTCACATCTGCTTTTGCTGGAAATTTCCTCCCCTTGCTGCTCATACGGAAAGTGTCACATTGAAAAAGCTAAACATTACCTGAATGCCTTTCTTGGAACAAAAATAATATCAGGCTCTTCTTTCTGAATATAAGTTATCCAGAAATCCACAAAACATTGAAAAATCGAGTAAAAATGCGGTAACTATGCGTAACAAAAATGAGTGCGCAAAGAGTTTCCGTGCGCAAAGTTCAACTTTGCGCACGCAAATGAGTGTGAAAAGTAATAACTTTGCGCACGCAAGTGGGAAAAGTTCTTATTAAGGCCTCGGAGAAAACGCGTTCGATTCAACTTAGAAAAAGTACGGAAAATTGTGATAGAAATAACATTTGAAATTCGTTCAACTTATGTGCGTGCTAGCTAAAAATTTTGAGTAATTTTACGTGTGCAAAGTTAAATGTAAGTACTTTAGTGTTTAATAATTTTCTGACTTTTATAAATGATTCTGAATAATAAGAAGTGAATTAACAAATGACTTTCAATGCCTAAAAAAATGAGTGATTTTTACTAGAAATACTTTTGACTTTATAAACTTGAGTGATTGTTACTAGAAAAACTTTTGACTTTTTATTAACTGTGGAACTTTATTGCATAAATATTAATAACTCGAGTGTTTTATAAATGGAACATTATTGCATAACTTTAATTGCCTTCAGATATAATGACATTCTAATTCAATTTTGCACCAACAATATGAAGGGAATTTATAATGCATTTAACATAACATAAATAGTTTCGATTTGAGTAGGGATTATTAAAGAAGTTTGAACTGGATTGTCCAATTGAAGATTAAGGGCTATAGTAACGAACTAATAAGAATTTAAATAATTTTGTATGTCAGCCAGGATGACGAAAAATAGTAATTGTTCTAATTAAATGGAATAGGAAATTTTGAAAAGAATCTTGATGTTCATGAAATAGAATTGTCTTAAAATATTGGAAAGTTGTCAAAGGAAACTTATGATAGTAATTTGTTCTGTTAAAAAGGAAATGGTATGTGTCGAAAAGAAACTTGTGCATGAAATAAGATTGTTGATGGTTATCATTCACTGTAATGGAGTGGTTAGTTTAAGAACTGTTGTCCTTCATGAGATAAAACTGCTGACGATAATCATTAGACGTATTGAAAAGGTTTATTTGAAATTTGTTATTCGTCAAGAGACATTGATGATCTTAAGTGCCGAACTTTTGAATTAGGGATTTTATTTTTCAAGTAGAAATTATTGTAAGGTTTTATAAGAATAAGTTAGTAATACCTATATTGATAGACAAATAGGTAATTATTTTGGGTTTTTCATAAGCAGGTCCAGTAAAGGAAAGAAATTTTAAGGAATTTATATAATTAGGTGAAGGGTAGTTTATTAGGAATGAATCGGAAGTATTGAAATGAGTTAACTTATAAGTTATGAGGAATAGTAGGAATAGGGCGATTCTTTATAAGTAGGGATATTTCAGTGGTCCGTAATAATAACATTTTGAACGGATGTGAAGTAATTGATTTTATAGAAATAAATGAGGCTGTCAGAATTGGAAGATATTTGACTGATTAAAAATTTTTTGGTTTTATGTATAATAAAATATAATTTAGTACACCTCAATAGTTTGTTTCTCTCTCTTGCAAATAGACCCTTCCACAGATTTTAGGTAGCAGCTCCAAGTAAATAAACACCATCAATATACCGCTCGCCATTTACCATCTAACTAATTACATAGAGTACTTGGGGCGTTTTGCTACAGTCGTTTTCAAAACTTGTTGTTTAAATAACTATTTTCTACAGGCTTGCGGAAAAAGTATAAATACATAATTTGTAGAAATTTATTATCATTTTTTTTTGACAGCCGCG